TAAAGATTTAGATGAATTAAAATTTATACAAGAATAACACCTTTCTAATTTATTTTAAAGGGTCCTATAATGATTTATTTAGTTCTTAATAACTGTTTATCAATAATTGCATCTATTTATGACAAAAAATTGCATCAACAATATAAACTCTTTAAATTAATATATACTAAAAACCGCTATAAAATAATATAGTTTTATAGTCTCAAATTGAATTTTTTGATTCAATTAGTATATCGATAAATTAACAATCTCTATTAATTAATAAAAGAAATTATAGTTCTTGTGTAGTCTCAACATTATTAATTTATAGAAGTTTCACTGTATGTTGATTACCATGGTGTGGAAAAAAAACAACGCCCAACTTATATATTTTTAACGCTGGTTTATTATGACATTACAATTATTAGAAAGATTATACACACGATTTAACAACCGACAATAATACAGTAAAATCTCTATAAATTAATAATGTTGGAATTTTAAATTTTATTAATTTATGGAGATATTAATTTACAAAAAAATTCTTATTTAGATTTTTTATTTTATGATATATTTATTCTAAGATAGAAACGTATTTGATTTTAGTGTTTAGACATTGATTGTTATTTTTTGAATTTGATATTTATATTAACTTTATTATATTATTTGGTGTATCTTATATTATAAAAGAGAATTTTGTCTCTTCTTATGTTGCCACATGAGCAAGGTGCATGGGACATTTTGTGACAGCTAGCAGTTTCTAATTTTTTATAAGTGAAGTAAAAAAATGATATACTAGTATTTACAAGTGAAGTCTAACATTAAAAATGATATACTGATTCCCAACTATAATAAAAGTATTTCTAATGGGGAGTTTTTTTCTATATAATTCTCAAATTGTAGATACCTCAAAATAATGGAAAATATAATTCAAAATATCTTAAATGTACATAAACGAGTGAACAACATATTTTCAAAAGAAATTTCCTTCAATTTTAATAATGATTAGGAATAAAAAGACTTTAAATTAACTACAATTTTTATCTACAATATCTCTTTTACCATTCATTGTAAAAAAATAGAATTTTTTTTTTAAATGTTTAGTAAAATTAACATAAATTCATATAAAATAGTTTTTATTATAACTTCTCGTCTGTAGGGCGGACCGACCCTAGTTTTTCTATAATATAATTTTAATTGTGTTTAAATACATGTGTCAATAAATGACACATGGTTTTCTCCAAAAAAAATAGAGAGAAAAGGGAATGAATAACAAATGAAACTTTGGTAAAAAAATTAAAATAAATAATAATAATAATAATAATAATAATACTAATAATAATAATAATAATAATAATAATAATAATAATAATAATAATAATATTAGCATAAACATTATGTTCTTTATTATCTAACCAACATCTGTTACAAAAGTATTTAAAAGACATTTAGCAAATGTTAATGCTCTCAAAATACTCTTTACTCAAAATGAGTTTTTAGTAGGGCATTTACATTTATAAAATTAAGAAAAATATAACTATTTTATTTAATAATATCATATATTATGTTTAAATCCAAAATATAATTTTTATATTTAAAATAATTTTATAACAAAAATATTTTTTATAAAAGCAATAATATTTCTTATTTAAAATTTAATTTTTTTTAAACTATATTATATTTTAAATGTGAAATACTTTTTAACTAAAATATTTTATTTGTAAAATAGAAAATTTATATTTGGATGTAAACATAGTTTTGATATTATCGAATAAAATAAATAAAAGATTTTTTCTTACTTTTATATATTAATATATATATATATTAGTAATATTTTCAATATATATATCTCATTTAAAATAAAGAAATTATATTATATTTTTTATAATATTTTAAATAGCATGGTTCTACTGTTTTACCAATAATTTTATAAATTCTTTAATAAAAACATACAATTTCTGCAATATATAGTTTCTACAGCATATTATTACTGCTTTATTATCTTCTAGGTATGTGCGTTTTTACCCAAATCAAACTTTCTACCTTAACCCAAATTAAAAAAAAAAAAAAAATCGGATCCAAACCATTATACAAAAATATCCGAACATAATTTGAGAGCTCGGTAATTTGGATTATGGATACAACCGGAACCGAACCAAAATCTAAACTTAGATCCGACTATATCCGAAATTAGTAAAATATGTTACTATATATATATATATGTTAAGGTAGTTTAGATATTTTAGAATATTTTTTTAAAAAAAATATAGTTTATTTTATTTGTTATTTTGAATAACTTTTAATTAGTTTAGTTAATTTAACTGGTTGTTAGTTAAATTTGTGAATAATTCATATATTTTGAGTATTCTTTTGTCAAACGTTATTAGTTTAAAAAGAATAGTTTGGGCTGTTTTATGTATTGATTATAATTTGATTCGACGCAAATTCAGAAGGAACGGAACCGAATCCCACCCATTAATTTATAAAATCCGAATGGAATTTGTGAACATAGTACCAAAGATCTGAAAATTCGAATCAACCAAACCGAATCCGACAAAGTCCCAGCCCTATTATCATCTTTGCCAACTAAATCTGCTTAAGTATATGAACAAATGAACATGGATTTGTACGTAATGGACTGATGGGCTTGAAGTCACGACAGCAAACATTTTCCAAATGTATATTCGGGATTCGACTAAATATTTACTTCTTGGGCTTATCAAGTTTTAGAGAACTTCACTATGTTAAACTTTATTTTACCAGAACAAATCATTTGTTTAGTTTTTTACCCTTTTAGTTTGCAAGTGTTAAGAAGTAATATATGTTAAGGTTTTAGCTATAAGTACGATAAGGGTGCAATAATCAGTTATGCTATGAATTAGAACATAAACATTATTTAAGTGTTGAAGTAATGTATGTTAAGGTTTTAGCTATAAGTATGATAAGGGCAGAGGCGGAGCTAGATAAGGAGTGAACGGAGCAGCTGCCCCCCATGATTTTTTCTTTTTTTTTTGCTAATTTTGTAGTTAATTTTTAGGATTTCCCTGATGAAAATTTGAATTTGTGACAATATTACTAGCGTTTTAAAATTTTGTCTTGGGTGAAAACTATTCCTAAATCCGCCACTAGATAAGGGTGCACCCTTATCATATATTAATAACACAAAAAATAATGTTTAGGTAGTTCATTTTCATTCTACTATTCTGAACATAATCTACGTGTTGTCCATTTCTTAGCAAGAAGTTTCAACCTTAGAGTATATAAGTATCTTGATTCTTGACTCTCGTACAGGCCTGAGAAGAGAAAAGTTTGTGGTTATAGTAATAAGGAAAAAAATATATCATGCATATATGATAAGGGTGCAATAATCAGTTATGCTATGAATTAGAACCAGCGTACATAGACTATATTATGTGTAGCCTTTTAAGATCTTATTAAAAAAAATTTTCTTTTGGTTTCTCAAAGAGAAGATCTGATTGATTTTTCTACCTTTTAAACAACTATATACTTCGTGGAATAAGTAAACATCATCTAATTAAGATGCATGAATCTTACGACAGAAGACAAACAATTATCAATCTTCGAGATGTACTTCTATTAATTATATATATGAATGGTTCAAAGTCGTAATTTAGATCCCGTGCATGTTATTAAGTATTTATGTTCAGTGTTTTCGACAGATTGTACATGAAACAGTGTTTAAACTTCAGTTTAAGAAATAAGAAACGTACAGAATCTTTGAACAATCGACGTTGTTCTTCTCCCTTTAAGCATATCTCAACCACATAAAAAAGATTTTCGTATCCCACCCACGTTTTTATAAATGAGCATGTTGACATTAAACTATTCCATTTGATCTTATACACTACAAGAAAACGTCATGAACTCCGACAAAATTTCCCGAGAAACTGAGTTATCAGAAAATCTGCGACAGTTAACCGAGAAAATAACAATGACTTAATAAATTCAACGGAAAGTTATAGGAAATTTCCGACAAAAAAAGTTTATCGGAAAGTTGTCTTTCAAGTTCTCGAAATATTCTCGGATTATACCGGTATACAA